CACGGCTTTGCATGTAATGAGTCTATCTCATATATTAGTTTCACCTTTTAAGTTGCATTACTGAAATAAATTAACTTTTACACGATATTCTAATTTTTCGAGTTTCACCTGTATAGGGGTCAAATGTAATAAAAAAGCGGGAGCGTCGTCCGGCATCTGGATATCAGTAAATCTCAAAATCCAGTTTAACTTGTGATTAGAAATCTTTAAGAACCTCTCAGCACCAGAAAACATGGAGCATGGAGTCCACCTCCTTTTTCACATCTCCAACCTTGTAAAGTTTTGGGAACTCTATACCATCTAGTTAGTATTATCCCATCTCTTAGATCTTACAGGAGACTGATGCCTTATGATCATTTGTATAATCCTGTCTCACTGCTGATCTGTAAAAGTAATACCCAGATCACGTTTTCATTTGATAAGGTACTCTGTGGGTTACGAGCAATGAGATTGAGACAATATATTGTATGATATGACTGAAAGTTCAGTGGGATCGCCTACTTAGATAGACAAAGGTTTTCAAACTCTATAGGAGTCGGAAGACATAGTATCTGTAGCACCCTCCTAGTCAGCTAGGGGCTGCTAGACTCCAATTGTTAGTGAGGAGGGCTGAGTAGCAGCCTGGGTGTGATAGCTAGCAGGGGTTAACTTTGATCAGAGCTGAGAGGTTCTGCAGACTGGCCCTCTGGAATTTTCCCCTGCTCTAGAACTTTGGAGAAAGGTCTAGAAGCAGTGGGCGGTGTTACGAACGCGACGTCAGACTCCAGCCCTTCTCACCAAACTCGTGACCAAAGGACTAGCCAATCTAAAACCGCAATGTCACATGCGTAACAATGCCACACCCAGCTGCACCCTGCACAACGATTTTCCAGGTAATTGGACTATAATCTATGTATCGGCAGCCTGAGTGATTGTTACTGGGTCAGGGCAATTAACCCTTCACATTACCACCACCTTTTTGCACAGAGAAAGAGGAAACTCAGCAATATCCACTATAACACTATAATGGTTGAGATAATCGTCTGCATAACACGGTCACCGCAGGCCGGTTATACAGAGGGTTAAACAAACACAGTAGCTCTCTTTTTAGAGGCAGGAATTCGTAAATTGCAATTAAGAGCTATAGAAACAGCAGAGCAAAGAGGTAACAGAAGGAGGTTAAAGGGTTAAAGTACTTGCCAATCAGCATTGGGTTTGCAGATCAAGTTTCAGAGTGAAAGGGTACGGGTCTCTCCAGGTGGTTCTGATGTTAAAATGGGAGACTTCTTCAGCTTAACTCTTCGTAGGCCTGACAACCCAATTTGTAGTTCCCCAGCAGGGGGTGTCTCTGAAGTCAAGGACCAATACCCCGTTTAGGGCGGGAAGGTCTGAGCGTAGACCTAAACTAGAGCCAAAATCTCTTCTAGTTAATATTTTGGCTCATAGCTTTTCATATTCACAAGTGACACTCCACCCTCGGGTAGATTATTATGCAGACGCGTCTGAGGATTGATTGGATATTAAATATGAAATTCTACACTGAATGGTTCACAAAATCTACTTTTCTGCTTTCCTATGTATTTCCAGCCAAGGAGAGTGACCTACCAAACTGTTCGTCTTCTCTTGGCCAATCTGAAGATATGCCTGGTTTTAATGTAAGTGTTTCATATTCCAAGATATGAGACATAGGGGAAAAATGGATTTTTAAAAAGGTAATGCTTCCTTGGAATGTCTTTTGAACTCCTGGGAAGGCTGGCGTTATCTTTTTACGAGGTGTTAAATTGCACAGGTTCTTTGGACAGCAAGGCCCCAGCTCCCTTGGGGATTTTATAGCTCCTAGCCCCCTGCTGGGCTCTGGCCTCCTGTGACACTCCTAACACACACACACACACTGGCCAAATGTCGCTGTGCCTCTCAGAGAGGGAGGGGGGGGGGAATGAGGGGAGAACATGGAGAATTCTTAACAAAATGGAGGGTTGGAGCAAAATGGTTGAACCTCGTCCATCCCTGTGTGTACGCTTGCTACAGGCAGATCTGAGGAGTGGCTGATCTGTACTTTTGAGGGACCCTGACCAATCCCCAACTCGGCTTGGCAAGGGGCCAGGACAACACTTACAAGTGAGAGAGCCTGCTCAGCAGCAGGAGAGTTTGGGTGGAAGACAGAGAGGATGTGAAGGCTGAAAGCTGGAGCCTGGGAAGGGGCTGAACCGGATCCCCTGCTCAGGGATTCCTCCAGACAGCTGGGTAAAGAAGAAGATTTATCTGGGGTCTGATGTGGTACTACAGGAGAAGCTGGCTAGGTCTCCAAAAGAAACTGTTTTGCTGTTGAGACTAGTAAATACCGTATTTTTTGCTCTATAAGACGCACAAAAGAAATGGGGAAAAATGTCTGTGCGTCTTATTATTATTATTATACAGTATTTATATAGCGCCAAAGGGTTTGCTCAGCGCTGTACAATAGCAAGGGGGACAGAACATGAGACAAGACAGAATAAATACAATACACGAGGGGTTTGAGGGCCCTGCTCTTTCGAGCTTACAATCTAGGAGGGAGGGGAAAGTGGTACAGGAGGAAATGGCTGTGGGGAATTAAGTGGTGGGAGGAGTGGAGGAGGTCAGCTGTTAGGTGAGGGTGGGGTAGGCTTCCCTGGAGAGGTGGGTCTTCAGGGCGCACCTGAAGGTGATGAGGGTAGGTGACTGTCTGATAGATTGGGATTCCAGAGGATGGGGGAAGTCCTGGAGAAATCCTGCAATCGGGCGTGGGAGGAGGAGACCAGGGAGCTAGAGAGTAGGAGGTCCTGTGAGGAGTGAAGGGCACGAGTAGGGTAGTATTTGGGTATCAGGTCGGTTATGTAGTTTGGAGCGGCGTTGTGAATGGCTTTGTAGGTCAGGGTTAGCAGTTCGAATTTGATGCGCTGGGCAATCGGGAGCCAGTGAAAGGATTGGCAGAGGGGGGTGGCGGATGTGGAGCGGTTGGTGAGGTGGATGAGTCTCGCCGCTGAGTTCAGGATCGACTGGAGTGGGGATAGTGCTCGTTTGGGTAGGCCAGTGAGAAGGGAGTTGCAATAGTTCAGGCGTGAGATGATGAGGGAGTGTAGGAGTTGTTTAGTAGTGTCTGGGGTGAGGAATGTACGTATCTTGAGATGTTGCGGAGGTAGAGCCTGCATGATCTTGATAGCAATTGGACATGGGGTAGGAAGGAGAGGTGTGAGTCTAGGGTGACACCCAGGACTTTGGCATGTGATGTGGGAGTGATGGTGGCGTCGTTAGTAGTGATGGAGAGGATGGGGGGGGGGGCGGGTTGGGGGGGAAGACCAGGAGCTCTGTTTTGGACAGGTTAAGTTTGAGGAAATGGAGCGACATCCAGTCTGATATGTCGTTCAGGAGGTGAGCAATGCGGGCGGAGAGTGAGGGGGTGAGGTGAGGGGTGGAAAGGTAAATTTGTGTGTCGTCGGCATAGAGGTGGTAATTGAAGCCGTGGGAGCATATTAGTTTGCCAAGGGAGGAGGTGTAGATGGAGAAGAGGACGGGTCCGAGGACAGAGCCTTGGGGGACTCTGACAGAGAGTGGGAGGTGGCAGTGTTATAGGTGATGCTGAAGGAGCGTTGGGAAAGGTAGGAGGCGAACCAGGAGAGAGCAGCGTCCCTGATGCCAAGGGAGTGCAGTTTAGTAAGGAGGAGAGGGTGGTCGACAGTGTCGAAGGCCGCGGAGAGGTCAAGGAGCAGGAGGACAGAATAGTGGCCATTAGCTTTGGCGGTTAGTAGGTCGTTGGTGATTTTAAGTAGGGCGGTTTCGGTGGAGTGCAGGGGATGGAAGCCAGACTGTAGAGGGTCAAGGAGGTTGTTATCAGTGAGGTGGGCGCTTAGGCGATTGTAGGCCAGGCGCTCAAGGAGCTTGGAAGTGAATGGCAGCAGGGAGATGGGTCTAAGGTTGTTCAGGTCAGTGGGGTCAAGGGAGGGTTTTTTGAGTATGGGGGGGAGGGGAAAGTGCCAGTGGAGAGGGAGAGATTGAAGATGTGGGTGAGGGAGCAAATGATGGGGGGGGGGGGTGATTGGAGGAGATGAGAGGGGATAGGGTCCAGGGGGCAGGTGGTGAGGCAGGCTTCAGTGAAGACCTTAGAGACCTCCTCAGGGCTAGTTGGGCTGAAGGAGCGGAGTGTTGGGGAGGTGATAGTGTGCGGGGGGTTAGGCAAAGCTGGGGGTAGTGCGGCTATGAGGTTGGAGGAGGGGAGGGTAGAGGAGTTGTAGGAGGGTGGGAGGATGGGTGGAGAGGTAGATTGTGAGTTGACAATGTCCTTACGGATTGCATCAATCTTATTTTGGAAATGATTGGCAATCTCGTGGGCGGTGAGTGAGGTGCTGAGTGGAGGTGGGGGGGAGACAGCAGGGATTTGAAAGTGGAGAAAGAGCCGACGAGGACAGGTGGAGAGGGTGTTGATAAGGGTTACGAAATAGGCTTGCTTGGCGGCGTGGAGGGAGGTGGTGTAGGTGAGGAAGGCGGCTTTTTAGAGGGAGAATGCGCGAGGGGATCTGGTTTTGCGCCATAAGCGCTCCAGCGTGCGACTGCGTCATTTGAGACTTTTTGTACGGTCATTTTGCCAGGGTTGAAGTGGTCGGGGTCTGGTGTTACGCGTGGTTAGGGGTGCCAATGAGTCGAGGGCAGCCGACAGTGAGTCGTTGTACGCAGTGTGGCCAGGTCAGGGCATGACAGAGGGAGGATACTGTCATACAGACGGTCAGCTGCCGGGTGGAGATGGGTCGGGTTCAGATTGCGGAGGTTGCGGGTGATGGGTAGACGCTTTGGGGGGGGGGGAGTTAAGGGAGGGGGAGATGGAGAATGTGATGAAGTGGTGGTCAGAGAGGGGGAAGGGGGTGTTAGTAAAGTCGTGGGGGGTGCAGAGGTGGGAGGAAACGAGGTCCAGGGTGTTTCCATTGGTGTGGGTGGAGGACTGTGTGTGCTGTGTGAGCGCGAAGGAGGAGGTCTTATGGAGCGAATATGGAGTGGCCGGCCTGGTATTCACCCTGTTGCCGCCGCCATGTTAGAATATCGGGCCGGTTGATTGGCTCTTCTGTGCAGCAGAACCTGCTTCTCGGACCTACCTGTTCCTCGGTCCAGTGATGTCCTCATCACCGCTGGTTTCACCGGCTGTCTTCTCTCCCTGGCTCCGGCATCTTCAGTGTGGCACCTGGCTGTGACAGCTTGCGGCTTCACAGCCAGGTGCCCACTATGCATGCGTGAGAAGCGCTGCGCTTTGTGAATGGCCCCGTAGTCTTCTGGGACCTGTCACGTGTCCCAGAAGACTACAGGGAGGGAGGGAGGACAACTTCCACTTCTGATCGCCTAGGCGATCGCAGCGGAAGTGTTAGCAGATATCTGTCCAATTCGGGTACCCGCTCTCCCAAGGTCTGCAGTCTCTGGTCATCTCCTGTACTATATCTGCAGTCTCTGGCCTTCTCCTGTACTATGTCTGCAGTCTCTGGTCATCCCCTGTATTATGTCCGCAGTCTCTGGTCATTTCCTGTACTATGTCCGCAGTCTCTGGTTATCTCCTGTAGTATGTCCGCAGTCTGTGGTCATCTCCTGTACTATGTCTGCAGTCTCTGGTCATCATCTCCTGTACTATGTCTGCAGTCTCTGGTCATCATCTCCTGTACTATGTCCGCAGTCTCTGGTCATCTTCTGTACTATGTCTGCAGTCTCTGGTCATCATCTCCTGCACTATGTCCGCAGTCTCTGGTCATCTTCTGTACTATGTCTGCAGTCTTTGGTCATCTCCTGTAATATGTCCGCAGTCTTTGGTCATCTCCTGTAGTATGTCCGCAGTCTCTGGTCATCTCCTGTAGTATGTCTGCAGTCTCTGGTCATCTCCTGTAGTACATCTGCTGTCTCTGGTCATCTCCATCTCCTGTAGTATGTCCGCAGTCTCTGGTCATCTCCTGTAGTACGTCTGCAGTCTCTGGTCATCTCCTGTAGTATGTCCGCAGTCTCTGGTCATCTCCTGTAGTATGTCTGCAGTCTCTGGTCATCTCCTGTAGTATGTCCGCAGTCTCTGGTCATCTCCTGTACTATGTCTGCCGTCTCTGGTCATCCCCTGTATTATGTCTGCAGTCTCTGGTCATCTCCTCTACTATGTCCGCAGTCTCTGGTCATCTTCTGTAGTATGTCCGCAGTCTCTGGTCATCTCCTGTAGTATGTCCGCAGTCTCTGGTCACCTCCTGTACTATGTCTGCAGACTCTGGTCATCATCTCCTGTACTATGTCTGCAGTCTCTGGTCATCATCTCCTGTACTATGTCTGCAGTCTCTGGTCATCATCTTCTGTACTATGTCCGCAGTCTCTGGTCATCTCCTGTACTATGTCTGCAGTCTTTGGTCATCTCTTGTAATATGTCCGCAGTCTTTGGTCATCTCCTGTAGTATGTCCGCAGTCTCTGGTCATCTCCTGTAGTATGTCTGCAGTCTCTGGTCATCTCCTGTAGGACATCTGCAGTCTCTGGTCATCTCCTGTAATATGTCCGCAGTCGCTCTGGTCATCTCCTGTAATATGTCCGCAGTCTCTGGTCATCTCCTGTAGTATGTCCGCAGTCTCTGGTCATCTCCTGTAGTATGTCCGCAGTCTCTGGTCATCTCCTGTAGTACATCTGCAGTCTCTGGTCATCTCCTGTAATATGTCCGCAGTCTCTGATCATCTCCTGTACTGTGTCCGCAGTCTCTGGTCATCTCCTGTAGTATGTCCGCAGTCTATGGTCATCTCCTGTACTATGTTTGCAGTCTCTGGTTGGTCATCTCCTGTAGTACATCCACAGTCTCTGGTCATTTCCTGTACTATGTCTGCAGTTTATTGGTTCAGAATATTTTCTTCTTGTTTTCCTCCTCTAATAACTAGGTGCGTCTTATGGTCAGGTGTGTCCTATGGAGCAAAAAATACGGTAGTTCCAGGAAGTTGTCCTTGGTTCCTCAGTTCCATTGGGCATTCACCCCTTACCCCATCCAACTTGAAATTCCCCTAATAAAATCCCAAAAAACCCAAGCTCAAGGACTGGTTAGTAACTCCTGAATGCAAGTCTGTGGGAAATGTGTGTTGTCCGGCTGTGCAGGCCTATAGGGGGACCCAAAACTTCTGAAACCCCTAAGGGGGTAGTGCTACATATCATTCCCCAATGATGAGTTGGGAAGTGCTGAAGTTGCAACTCCTTCCACAGAGGGAGAGGATGCTCTAACATTGCTTGGATTTCAGGTAATAAGCACCAATGCCCTATGTGCCAAAATGTCATACTCTGAATTGGTGATATTTGAGGATGGAAAGGAACAATCCATCCTGTAGTTTCAGGATGAAGCTCGGGAAGAATTCTTCTCTATTAGGTGTTACTGAGTTATCAAAAAATACGTTTCACTTGTGCAGGTTTTACTGTCACCAAAACAAAGGTTTGTATTCAAAGAAGATCTTCTGCCCCCCAATGTAAAACAAAAATCACACTTGGAAAATACCAGTAAAAGACGTGAAAACTAGTTTTATCTTGCTGTTGGGTATAAAAAAAATGCCTGTATTTTTTTGGGGGTTTTTTTCTTCTTTTTTTTTGCAAAAAATATTAGATGTGCAAATTAAAGATTTATATGTAAATGTTTAGGGTATTTAAAGGAGAGGTTTGAGGTTTAAAAAAAAACAAAAAACAAACATACTTGTAGCACCCTCCTAGTCAGCTTGAGGGAGCTAGAGTTTTGATTGTTAGAGAGGAGGGCTGAGTAGCAGCCAGGGTGTAATAGTCAGAAGGTCAAATTGTGGTCAGGAGCTGAGAGGCTCTGCAGGCCAGCCCCTCTGCAATTTCCCCCTGCTCTAGAGCAGTGGTCTCCAAACTGCAGCCTACGGGCCGGATGTGGCCCTTTGCTTGCTTTGATCTGGCCCTTATGGCACTATTCCTTCCATTGACACCAGCGATGGGGCACTATTCTTTCTACTGACACCAACAATGGGATGCTATTCCTCCTATTGACACCAATGATGGAGCACTGTTCCTTCCACTGACGGGACACTGTTTCTCCTACTAACCTCAATGACGGGGCACTGCTCCTCTCATTGATCCCAATGACAGGACACTGTTCCTCCCACTGATCCCAACGACGGGACACTGTTCCTCCCACTGACCTCAACGACGGGGCACTGTTCCTCCCACTCATCCCAACGATGGGACATTGTTCCACCGACTGACACCAGTGATGGGGCACTGTTCTTCCCACTGATACCAGAAATGGACGACTAATTATCCCACTGACACCAACGATGGGGCACTGTTCCTCCCACTGACCACCAAGCCTAGGGTATTGTTTACTCCCACTGATGCCAGGGCATTTTCTACTCCCACTGGCCACAACCCAGCCCCCCTAAAGTTTGAAGGGCAGTAAACTTTGTTTCAAAACTTTGGAGACCCCTGCTCTAGAGCTTTGTAGGAAGGCCGAGAGGCAGTGGGTGGATCTGAGGAGTGGCTGGCCTGCACTCTTGAGGTATCCTTGCCAATTCCCAATAAGAGGCTTGGCAAGGGGCTAAGACAACCTTTAAAAGTAAGTGAGCCTGCTCAGTGGGGCCTCAGCTCAGGTGGAAGACAGTAAGGAAGAGGCTGAAGGCAGGGGCCTGGGAGGGGGCCCAGGTGGAGAGAAGGGTCTACCTACAGGCAGCAGAGCTCGAAAGGAAGAAAGCTCAGAGCTTCACTGGCCCCCAGAGCAAAGACCACCTGTCCAGCAGAGAAGGAATGGCCCAGCTAATAGGCCTGGTAGCAGCCACCAACCCATAAGCGGTACAGGAGAAGATCTGAGTGAGTGCCCATGGACCCCCTGGATGGATAGGGGAAGTAGCACTCTGGTGGGAAACCAGATTTGTCACCTATGGGACTGTCCATTTCTTAAAACAACAGGAATCGGATCCCCTGATCAGGGATACTTCCAAATTGCTGGGTGAAGGAGGAGTTCATCTAGGGTCTGGGGTGGTACACTAAGGAGATGCTGGCTAGCTCTCCACTAGAGACTGTGTTGCAGTGAAGGCTTGTAAGTAATTCCATGAAGTTCATCAGTTCCCTTGGGCATCCTGTACACCCCTGCCCTATCCCAGTTCAAATCCCCTAAATAAAGATAACAAAACCAAAGCTCAAGGACTGATTTCTGACTCTGGATGCAAGTCTATGTGAAGATCTGTGTTGCCTGGCTGTGCAGAAGTATAGGGGGACCCAAATCTCTAGCGACTCTGAAGGGGGTAGTGCTACATACATACTCACCTCCATGCTGTGATGATTTATGGTCGGGAACTGCTGATCAGCTTAGTGAATGACAGTACAGAGCCCTGTGTTTACTAACAACACAGGGCTCTGTACAGACAGCAGCAATGTGGCTGATGTTTTCTCCCTGCAACTGCATGCCTAGGTGCTTGATTTTAAACACCAGTGGCCATGGGGGTGATTGGATCCAATGATTTGGAGGGCTGACTGACTATTTGGAAACTCAGGCACTGCCCGAGGGCCTGGGTTAGTAGGGGGCCCCATGAGATGCCCCTGGTACCCCCTATTGCCCGAGGCCCCATAGTTGTCATCCGCCCCTGGGGTGTCCAATACTTTTGGCAATATAGTGTATGTGTTAATCAGTCAAAATTTAGTAAAAGTTCAGTTGGCACTACCAACAAGATCCAGTTGTTGCTGTACCAATAAGATAAGATGTTTTGGCCCAAGAAATGAAATGAAAACTACCCAATGTTTGTAAAAAGTACTTTCGAATTAAAGTAATCATAGGGTTAAACGATAACCCATAAAATTAAAAAAACAAAAAAAAAAAATAAATCAAAAAAAATAATAAAAAAATAAAAAAAATAAACAAAATATCCCCAAAAAAAAAAAAAAGAAAATTTTTCATAGGCCTTTTTTTAGTTTGGGCAAGGACACAGGGGCCCCATGATCCCCTATTGCCCGAGGGCCCCATGAGTTGTCAGTCCGCCCCTGGGGGTGTCCCAATACTTTTGGCAATATAGTGTATGTTGTTAATCATTCAAAATTTAGTTAAAAGTTCAGTGGCACTACCAACAAGATCCAGTTGTTGCTGTACCAATAAGAGTAAGATGTTTGGCCCAAGAAATGATAATGAAAACTACCCAATGTTTGTAAAAAGTACTTTCGAATTTAAAGTAATCAAGGGTTAAGATAACCCATAAAATTATCATAAGTAGACTGAAGAAGCCACATGGGCAGCCTTCTCTAAAGCTTCACAGACAAAATGGATACCTTTCTTGTGAGGAATCACTGTATCCAAGCTGTTAACTAGAATTGTACATGATGAAATTGCGCCCAACTGATGCAATTTGTCAAATCCTTTATAAAGGATGGTGTTCTAGTGGCAGTGGGCTGCAAAAACAAAAGGTTTATAGCTAGGAACCTCTGGCAGAAATAATTAGTCTCCCTAGTAATCTAGAGGCAACCTTATGGATTTGTGAAAGTGTAAATTTTTTAGGAGAGTGTGAAAAGCCAATGGTCAAAAACCTCAGTTATTATATTATTTATTTCAGGTACTTATATAGTGCTGTCAATTTTACATATATATATTGTACATTCACATCAGTTCCTAACCCTCAAGGGGTGTACAATCTAAGGTCCCTAACTCACATTCATACATACTATGGACAATTTAGACAGGATCCAATTAACCTACCAGCATGTCTTTGGAGTATGGGAGGTAACCAGAGTACCTGGAAGAAACCCTCGCAGGCACAGGGAGAACATACAAACTCCAAGCAGGTGGTGCTGTGGCTGGGATTTGAACCAACAGACCCTAGTACTGC